GGAAAGACTTGGAATTGTGCTCAGAGATAGTTGACGCGTGTGCAGAACTTGCACGTACTGTCACGAGGTTCTTACTTTTCCCTCTTTTCATTTTGTTAGTTAATTTAATCCTAATACGGAATTAAATGTGTAATGAACGGATGTAAATTGGGCTTAGTAACGTTTAAAATTGTTCTGGAATATCTTTTTTCTTTTTAAAAAAGAAACAAGATTACTTGAAGAGTTGGTGTAGGGCCTCTCTGAGCAAATAATGCTAGGGATGTACGGAAAGGCTGACAAAGCATGCTAGGAAAAAATGTACTACTCTGTTTGTCCTGTTTTTCTTTTTAAAAAGCAATAAATATTTATTCAACAGCTAAGCCAAAACAGAACTCAAGAGGGTAAAAATGTTTTTTTTTAATCAAAATCACATTTTTTTTTCCTAACTTAGTTGTTTGGTCCAGCTTTTTTGGGAAAAAAAATACTTTTGTGAAGAAGCAGAAATAATTTTTAAGAAGTAGAAAAAAATAGCTTCTTACCAATAAAACCATAAGCATTTTTGACTTTTTTTCTTACCAAAAATAACCTTAACAAAATGTAGTATATACCAAAATAACCGTTAAACCTAATACTTAGGATATTAATGTATAAATATTTCTTATTATTTTTAGGATAACTTTCTAATATATAGTGACTTTAGGGGTGAATGCTTTTATATTTGTTGAATGATTTTTAATATATTTAACTTATATTAAAAGAATTAAGTACTTTTAAATTTTATTTTCATATTTTATTTAAATAAAATAAAAAGATTTAATTATTGCCTATAATAACAAATTTTTAAGATTATTTATTAATTATAATATTAATTATTAAGTAAATCTATTCATGTCCTTATTCGTAATTTGATACTTAAAAACACTTTCTGAAAAGTTTGGCCAAACACAAATTATTGTTCAAAAGAGTGATTAGCCAAATACAAAAAAAGTACTTTTGAAAAATGCACTTCTCAAAATAAGCTTATTTCTCCGGCTTGACCAAACATGTTATTAAATAGGGCTTGGCCAAACATGCTATTAAATAGGGCTTCGCCAAACATGCTATTAAATAGGGGAACATTTCTGGTCTAGTATAGAAAATATTATATGTGCAGTTTTTTATTTTTTTATTTTTCGTGTTACTCATTTCTATTTGCTGGTCCAAACATGTAACAGATAGACTAGAAGTAACTTAAAAGATGTTTTTTCCAAACAAAGTCATAAGAGAATTTAGTTGAAGTGAAATAGTGCTTTCTTTGTCAAAAATTGATCGAATATAAGTATGGTTTACTTTTATGGTAAACTAAAAATGAACAACTGGGTTATATATGAGTTTGTACAGGGTTCTACTAAGGACAAAAGAATCACATCTGGGATAATGCTCTAGCTTTGTCTTGCAAGAATTGTCTCCTATCACTCTCTAGAGCTTGAAAATCAGATGCTTTTTTGCACAGAGATATCGACTTTAAGATTTCTTAAAAAACATGTGCTAAAAAACGGAAGTAGGAGTTGTGTAACGTGGAGTAATCAAGTCTATATCTTTGTGGAATGGTACAATCTTTGGTACATCAGTCATACGTGGGCTTGATCTTATAATCTTTGGGAGCCCACAGTGGATTCTGTTTGTGAGTTCGAAGCTATAGGTTTTAGTCACTAGAATTCTTTTACCAAGTCTTTATTATGGGTTCATTAAATATCTTATAGTAGTTCAAATATTCTATTTCTCATCTTTATACTTTTTTTTGGGGACCAGGCATGTGACTTTCCTGTGTGGAAGAGGAGGGGTATATGCTCTTGGAGCTGTTGCAGCTAACTATTGTGGGGACCAACACAAGAGAGTGTTGTATTTGAACCATTTCTTTGAGGTACCAGCATCCCTATTGTGATTTCCTTAGAGGCAATCATACTTGTTTATATGAAATACTGTACTTCTTCAACTATAGTGGGGATTCATATGAGTTGTTTCACTAGATATGGGTATCATAGAGTAATACTATGTGATTGTAGGTACCTTCCCTTGATCCACAACCAGGAAAAAGAGATGTGATCTGTCTATTTCAACAACTAAGCACGTGAAGCTAATGTTAGGGACCGCTAATTTGATACAAAATGTTTTGAGACGCGTTGGGCCAGAATATGGGTAGCTAATGTCTAATTTATCTAAAAGACCAAAAGTTTGTGAACGGTGTCATGTCTTACTTGTTGAGGAGTGTTCATTCTGTTGAATTTTTTCTTAGCCTATGATGATGATTTAGCTTAGAGACCTGTTAATTGTTGTTTAGTGTCATTTGCTTTTACCTATCAAGTAAAGATACTCTTTTGTTTCATGAAATTTGTCAAAAGGTGTTTGTCTCCACCATTTATCTACTCTGAAAATTTTCATTGAACTACAAAATGACCTCACTGGCCACTTATAGTGGAAAATTTAAAGTAAAGATCCATTGAAGTGCTCTTCATTGAACTGTAAATCAACAACACAGTGATATAACCAATATCAGCAATATAGCTCATTGTTGATGAATTCTTGTTTAACTTAGGGATAACAACTTCGTAGGGGAAATGCATAAATTATTAGTTTTAAGAGCTTGTACATTCCGTCAAGTCATCATCTATTTGTAAGTTCAAGAAGTTATTCACATAATAACAACTATGGCTCAATACCAAACAAGTTAAACTAGTTGGGGTTGGCTATATGAATTCTTATCGACTCTTCATTTAATCTCATCTCAGGATGTAAAACATTTGACCTGGTGATGAGGAAAGAAAATATGCTAAATTCATGCTCGCGATATTCTATATATGCTTGGGCAGTCGGTTAATAAAATATGCTTGCAAATCAAACATACTGTAACTGCTTCAGCATCTAACGCGGTGGTGAATTTCGTAATGTTATTTTATTGCTTTAGCCTCTGTGTCATGTAAGTCCAGATGCCCCTCTGTTACTGCAGTAGTTTAGCTTAGCCCTGTTTGGAGCAACGTTTAGATCTTTCTCCAATTTGTCACTTTCAGGTGGCACAGGAGAGAGCCCTTCCTGTTGGACCTGAAGATGGAGGTTTTGGAATGTCATATGACCTCCTTTACGGACGAGCTGGCTTCTTGTGGGCAGCATTGTTTATCAGGAAGTACTTAGGGGCGGAGACAGTGCCAGATGAATACCTTATGCCTGTTGTTGAAGCTATATTAGCAGGAGGGAGAGCAGGGGCAACTGATAACCCAGCCTGCCCGCTGATGTATAGATGGCATGGGACAAGATATTGGGGCGCAGCTCACGGGCTTGCTGGTATTCTGCATGTATTACTTCATTTTCCGCTCTCTCAAGAAGATATCGAAGATGTTAAGGAGACCTTAAGGTACATGATGAGCAACAGGTTTCCCCACAGTGGTAATTATCCTGTCAGTGAAGGGAATCCAAGAGACAAGCTGGTCCAATGGTCCCATGGTGCTACCGGCATCACCATTACTATGTGCAAAGCATCGGAGGTTAGTACCTATTAGACATTTAGACCCAGGCAATAAGTTTTCTACTATTGTACCCCGAGCTTATAAACACTTATGAGATTAAACTGGGTTTGTTATTGTTGATGTTGCTACCCCGAGCATATAATAAGTGACGTATTCAAAGAAAATACTTAAGAAACTAAGTTAACAATGACAAGCATGTTTGCATTCCCTGTTCTTTCAACTCGGATTTCTCATTAGGTTCTCAGGTTGTAAAAGAGGGGAAGCACCTCGTCTCTTGGGATCCTTCGACCCCAAGTGTGGAGTTACGTGGATGCAAGGAGGTCTATATGAATTCCTTTTGTCAAAAAGTTATACTATGTAAATAGGGTAATAAACCTCTTTTTGCGTACATAATTTTGTGGATTCCTTTTACATAATGAAAAGTGGCGCTTGCGGTAAAAATGCTGTTTAAAAATTGCTTTGATCACATGTTCATATTTTAGGTGCGACATTCTTGTATTTTTAAAGGTGGCTCAAAAATTGCTTTAGGTCACATGTTCGAATTCTAGGTGTGGCGTTGTATTTATTTTGAAATCTTTTTGTTAGGATTCCCAACTCCGCAGCTGCTCTGACCCCTATCGGAAACACACACAAAAGTATCATATTGTCACAATTTTGGTGAATCAAGTTGTGAGAACGAATAATGACCTCAACTTTACTCTTCTGCTGCAGGTACTGTCAAATGATAGGGAGTTTCGTGATGCTGCCATAGAAGGTGGAGAGGTAGTGTGGAAAAACGGCTTGGTGAAGAAAGTAGGACTTGCTGATGGTGCATCTGGAATTGCTTACGCCTTCCTTTCACTCTTCCGTCTAACTGGGGAAAGCATATATGAAGAAAGAGCAAGAGCTTTTGCAAGTTGCTTATATCACAATGCGAGGACGATCATGAATGAAAGGCATCATAATGAAGCAGATCATTCCTACTCTCTTTTCCAAGGATTAGGTGGCGTCGCTTGCTTCTTGTTCGACTTGCTTACGCCTGAAAATTCCAGGTTCCCAGGCTATGAACTCTAATCTTTGGCTTGTTTGAGTTTCAAGAGATGGGTTTACAGGAAAAAAAAAACCATGTACTCTGGTAGGTTAATAGTGCAAGTTTACATGGTCAATTAGGAGGTGGGAAATGGAGTTTCTTGCTTGCTTCCTGGTGTGAGCAAATACTAGTAAGCTATGTGATAGGATGTTGTATATATTTGACTTTCATTTAGCACTTTTTAATTACTCAAATATGTAGATGCAATGGCCACCATGCTTCATTGTCCATGACCCCTTTTACATACTCTCGCCTGCCCTCCTGCTCCTCCTTTGATTTAGTGGTTTGTTTTCTCAATAATAGCTTGAAATTACATGAACTTTTGAATATAAGGACAGCAGTTAACGCAAATTATTATATGGTAACGCGAATAACTAGGTTAAGGATAAAGTTGCTTCTAAATGATTACACCCGACAATGAGAATCTGAACCTAAGAATGAGAAATGAGTAGTAAAGAGTAATATTTTGGGCTCCATTGATAATCTTAGGAAGTCTGAATCTGAATTAACAAAGAAACACGGTGCTAATCAATAAGACTTTGTTTCTCTTTTGCATTATTCCAATCCTATCTATCTTCCAGTTTTTCTACAAGTCTACTATCTGAACTCTAGGAATATGAGCAATTTTCCAGTAATCCCCACTTTGACTGTCCTCAAGCTGCAAAGTCATCAACATCTTTTCAGAAACATTTTGCAACACAAGACGTTGAAGCTTGCTTAAATGCTCAATCCCAAACGGAAACTCCTTCATTACCGGACAGTTGCACAGTTGAAGCTCCTCAAGAGAAGGCATTGCACCTTCTTCCACTTTAATTATACTCAAATTCCTGCAGTGCCAAATATATAATTCTCGCAGTTTCTTGAATCCGCCTGCCCTGAACCTCAATTCTTCGCCTTCATAAGCCGAATCTAGCACAAGGTTTACAAGGTTGGGCAAATCTTGAAGAGTTTCTAGTGCATTGTCCACTAACTTGGTCAAAGTTAAATGAACTGTGGCTAAGGCTTCAAGAGATGTTACCCATATTGGAAGCCTCTCCAAACGCCCTTCGAAGGTTAATGTTCGAAGGGATGAGTGTGTAGAACGAAGGGGATAGTGTAAATCAATAATATCATTCACCCCATAAGATGAGATAGATAGTTGTTCAAGATTTATCAACTTGTCAAGGGAAGAACAAAGATCCCTTGCGTGTTTTCTTCGCAGCTTTGCGATCTCTAACTTTCGTAGTCTTGTTAACTTTCCCAATTCAATCACTGTGCTTGTAGTGGCATTTATAAGAGTCACCACTTCTAAGGACGCAAGGATTCCTATGTTCTCAGGAGCTATAAAACCATGCAAAAAACCAGCACCACGTCGATAAATGAGGACATGGCGAAGATGTTGAAGCCTTAGAATTTCAACAGGCAATTTGTTTACTGATGTCTCCCTTAGGTCCAAGAACTCGAGGTTCTCAAGCTTCTGTATTGATCCTGGGAGATGTTTTATCTTAGTGCTCTTTAAGTTCAAAAACTTGAGATGTACTAATTCAAAGACTTCTTTTGGTATTTTTACCAATGGGGCTTGTGTCAAGTCTAAGACCTTGAGTAGCTTGAAACTGCCACATAACAGCTTCAACAAGAATGAACTAGTCACAGAATCTGGAGAACCAAACGTTATTAGTGAGTGAAGATGCTTAAACTGATCAATATTTTGTATATCGTTTGTCAATTCATCAGTGATTACCAGATGTCTGACTTTGTGAGGCCTTCTTGTTTCTTCCCCATTAGCTATAGTTGCCATGGCACTTTCCCCTGACTTAGAAAGAATGATTTCATACCACAGGTTATTAATGCTGAATATCGCTAACCTTCCATCAGGGTATTTTTTATCAACTTGGATCAAGCTTCTATTTGCAAGTTCATTGAGATAGCTTTCAGCAACTTTTGCAACTGCTTTTCCCTCTCTTTCAAGGACAAGTCCTTCTGCTGCCCACAATCGAGTCAGTCTCATCTTATCGATGATATGATATTTTGGAACTATGCTCAGATAAGTGAAACAAGACTTGAGATAGAAAGGCAAGTCTTGATAACATAGATTGAGTATCCTTTTCATGTGCTCGACTTCACTATAACTACCTTGTAACTTGTCAACAAGGCTGTCATAGAATATCTCCCACGCCTCTTTTCTTTTCCCTTTAGTAGCCAAAGCACCAGCAATCACCAAAATCGCCAGTGGGAGACCTCTGCATTTCTGTACAATGTCATTGGAGATTTGCATCAAGGATGAAGGGCATAATAGGCTGCCTGAAAATGCCTTTCTGCAGAAAAGAATCCAAGATTCTTTTTTGGACAAAGGCTTCAAATTATAAACATGACTATCAACATCAGTTTCCACACAAATAGTATGGCATATATCAGCAAAACGCGATATGATGATAATCCTGCTGCCACAGCTTACTCTAGGAAATGCACATTTGAGAGTTCTCCAGGTGCCAATATCAGGGACATCATCAAGGACAATTAAGTACCTTGATGACTCAAAGAATAATTGAAGGAATTGTGCCAACATGTTAGCATCCATGGTTTCAAGTGCTCGACGGGAATGGTCATCTTGTGGAGCAAGCATGGACGTGAATAGCTCCTTAACATTAGAAAATTTTGGAATATCAATCCACAGAGTATGATGATTGAAATGCTTGTTCACTGTTGCATCATCAAAGATTTTCTTGACTAGGGTGGTTTTCCCTATACCTCTTGTTCCAACTACACAAAGCAATTTCCATTCTGGATCATCAGAAAGAACCCGATAAAGTAGTACTGATTTATGATTTTCAATGCCTACAAGATCTGCATCATCATGAAGTACTTCATGGTTATTACACCATGTAATGTTGCTACTTTCTGCACTTGTTATAACACCATATTTCTGAAGAAACGTTTTATGTCCTTCAGAAATGACGATGATTCGGGCCTTTATACCTTCCGATGCTTTTAAAATATTATCATTTTGAGCTTCAAATAACTTCTCAGACATTAATGAATGATGGGGTTTTTTCCATGGCCACGATACCTTTTCTTGAAAACTGTTGCACATGACAAAATGACTTTCAAGAATGTCTTGGACATCATGTGCAAGGTCTAGTACTTTCTTGATCCATACTTGTAATTCAGCATCTTCTTCTTCTTTTGCATCAGCTACTCTTGAGAAAGTCCTCATTTGTTCAAATGCATCCTTGATATACACAATTTCTTCTTCAATTCCTACAATAAACTTTTGTCCACTGTGGAGCCAGTCTGAAATTTGATGTACCAGAAAAGTTATAGCGCTCTCTGCCATTTTTTCACTCGGTATATAGTTTCGTTAGAAAATTTAATGCAAGATGTTGTAATTAATGATGGGGTTTCGTTATCAATTTATGTAGATCAAAGTTTGAACTGGTTAGGGACTAGAAGCATGTTATGCAAATGATTATTGCAATTTGCAAGCTTAATTAAGAAACATTCTCCGAGTTATTACTAGTTTACTACTACTAGTTGGAGTATCTCTTCTTTTTATATTCATATGCTATATGAGCTGACTTTGAACACACTTAACGTGGCAGCAATTTTAAACGGTTGGTTCATTGACTATGGCTGTCTAGAGACATCGACTGTCAATTTGAATGTTTACACCAGAATCTCCATTCTAAGCCTCCGATTGCTTTTGTTCTCTCAGTATATAAATTCTTTGAAAAATTATCCAAGATGTTGATGTAATTAATGTTGGACTTTCGTGATCAATTTATATTATATCAAACTTTGAATCATTTTAGGGAGTAGAACTGCGTTTCACAAATGATTATTGCAAATTGCAAGTTAAGAAACATTTTTCCAGTTCTTGCTATCTCTATTAGTATAATATCTTTTAGTTAATACTAGTTTACTAGTATTAGTTGGACTATTTCTCTTTTCTAAATTCATGCTATATGACTTTTAACACACTGAACGTGGCAAGCAACTCGGCAATTGATTCGGTCGACCACTGGCTATCTAAAAATACCGATTGTGAACTCAATTGTTTACACCAGAATCTCCACAGTAAACCCCTTTTGTTAGTCCGGAGCAATCGTGGTATGCTACAAAAATTGAAGTAGGAGATGTCTAACGTGGAGGAATCAATTCTATATCTCTGTGGGACAGTAGTATAGTATAATGGTATGCAGCAGAATTATATGGCATCAGTTATACGTGGCGTAGATCATCTTTTATTCTATGGGGAGCCCACAGTGATTCTGGAAAAAGTTGTATGTGTGAGCCATAGTGGAACTGGTTCTGGTTGTGAGTTTGAAGCTGTAGTTTTAGTCTCTATAATTCTTTTTCCAAGTCTTTATTTTGGGGTAATTAAGTGTCTAATAGTTCAAAAATGTCTCATCTTTGTTCTTTATGTGATTTTTCTATGTGAAAGAGGAGGAGTGTATGCTCTTGCTGCTGTTGCTGGTTAAGATTTAGGCCTGATAATTGTTGTTTAGGTATTGTTTCGTTTGTTCTTACTACCAAGAGGATTTTTTTTTGTTGAAAAGAAATTTGTTAAAAGACTTAGTTTCACTTGGAATAAAGCTGAATGTAGGTGAGACTTCCTTATTAAGATTGGTAATCGAAGATAATGCGAATTTACCATATATCCGTTACTAATCGGTTGCTCTCTGCAGTCTGCAACTCTTCATTTTATTCTGGAAGTGGTTACAGGCTGAAAACTTAGAAGAGCTTTTCCAAACAAATGACTTGTACTTAGTTAAGGCTGGTCGGGACCAAATCCTCCTTGTAAAGGACTTATGAGATCGTACGGGGTAGCATATGCTGGATCAGTTCTTTCTTGCCTCCTGGTGTGAGAAAATACTAGTAAGGTATGCACCACGGCTTTGTATATATTTGATGTTTATGTCACCACCTTTTAAAGAACTGGCCGTCCTTTTCTATGGCCCTTTTTACCTACCAACTCACGCGAGTTCTGTATCCTCTTTGGTTTAGTGGTTTGTTTTTGCCAATAATTGCATGAAACTGCATGAGCTTCTGAATAGCAAGTGTATTATTTCTTTTGAATCCTTCAAAATCTTAAAAAGAAAGATGAATATGAATTATTATATGGTAAATACGTACTCCTAAACCAAGGAAAAAGTAGCTTCTGAAATTATCAGACATTTTGTTTTTTACGTGCAAATTATTTGGTAGCTCAGTCTACAAAAGTTATTGCTTGGATGTCTTGTGGAGCATTTTTCCCCATTTGAACTAGGAGATTTTAGAAATCTAGTGAAGAAAGAAAGAAATGTGTGCAGCTATACAAATATGACTGAAAAAGAAATGTAGATAACCGAATGGTACATGAATCTTAATCGTATTATTACAGTTATGAGAGCAGGAAGCTCAAAATGAGAAACTCAAAAATAAGAAATAAGAAGTAAAGAGTAATATTCCGAACTACAAATAATCTTAGAAAGTTTGAATCTGAATTATCAAAAATATGTTACTAAATCTCTTCTCTTGCATTATCCCATTCCTAATTACCTTTCAGTTTTTCTTCAAGTCTTCTATTCTATATGAAGTCCGTGAATATGAGCAATTTTCCAGTAATCCCCACTTTGACTGTCCTTAGGCTGCACAGTCATTAACAACTTCTCAGACATTTGTTCCAGCGAAAGATACTGAAGCGTGCTCAAATGTTCAATCCCAAAGGGCAACTCCTCCATTAATCCACAGTTGCGCAATTGAAGCTCATAAAGAGAAGTCATTGCCCCCTCTTCCACTTTAATCTGTCTCAATTCTGTAGAGTGCAGAATACGTAAGTCTTTCAGTTTCTTGAATCCACCTTCCCTGAACCTCAATTCTTTGCCTTCATAGGCCTGGTCTAGCACTAGTTTTACAAGGTTGGGCAAATCTTGAAGACTCTCTAGTGCATTGTCCACTAACTTGCTCCATTTTAGATGAATTGTGGCTAAGGCTTGAAGAGATGTTATCCATTGTGGAAACCTCTCTAGACGCCCTTCGAAGAGTAATATTCGGAGGGATGTGTGTGTAGAAGAAAGGGGATAGTGCAAATCAATAATGTCACTTACCCCATAAGATGAGATTGATAGTTGTTGAAGATTTATCAACTTGTCAAGGGAAGAACAAAGATCCCTTCCATGTTTTCTTCTCAGTTTCGCGATTTCCAATATTTGTAGTCTTGTTAACTTTCCCAGTTCAATCACTGTGCTTGCAGTGGCATTTATAAGATTCACCACTTCTAAGGACACAAGGGTCCCTATGTTCTTAGGAGCTTTGAAACCATGCAAAAAATCAGCACCCCAGCGATAAATGAAGACATGGCGAAGATGTTGAAGCCTTAGAATCTCATCAGGCAATTTGTTTACCAATGTGTCCCTTAGGTCCAAGAACTCGAGGTACTCAAGCTTCCATATTGATCCTGGCAGATGTTTTATCTTAGTGTTCCTCAAGTTCAAAAACTTGAGATGTACTAATTCAAAGACTTCTTCTGGTACGTTCACCAACGGGGCTCCTGTTAAGTCTAAGACCTTGAGCAGCTTGAAACTGCCACATAACAGCTTCAACAAGAATGAATTAGTGACAGAATCTGATGACCTGAATGTTATCAGAGAGTGAAGATGCTTAAACCGATCAACATCTTGTATATCATTAGCCAATTCATCAGCGATTACTAGATGTCTGACTTTGTGAGGTCTTTTTGTTCCTTCCCCATTAGCTATAGTTGTAACGGCCCTTTCCCCGGACTTAGAAAGGATGGTTTCATACCACATGCTATGGATGCTGAATGATTGTAACCATTTATCAGGGTACTTTTTGGTAACTTGGATCAAGCTTCTGTTTGCAAGTTCATTGAGATAGCTTTCAGCAACTTGTGCAATTCCCTTTCCTTCTCTTTCAAGGACAAGTCCTTCTGCTGCCCATAGTCGAATCAGTCTCTTCTTATTAATGACATGATCTTTTGGAATTATGCTCAGATATGTGAAACAAGACTTGAGATAGAAAGGCAAGTCTTGATAACATAGATTGAGTATCCTTTTCATGTGCTCGACTTCACTATAACTACCTTGTAACTTGTCAACAAGGTTGCCATGAAACAACTCCCACGCCTCTGTTTTGTTCCCTTTAGTAGCCAGTGCACCAGCAATCAACAAAATTGCCAGAGGCAAACCATTACATTTTTCTACGATGTCTTTGGAGATTTGCATCAAAGATGGAGGACATAACAGGCTACCTGAGAATACCTTTCTGCAGAAAAGAATCCAAGATTCTTCTTCAGACAAAGGCTTCCAACTATAAACATGACTATCACCACCAGTTTCAGCACAAATGGTATGGCATATTTCAGCAAAACGCGATATGATGATACCCCTGCTGCCACGGCTTTTGCTAGGAAATAAATATTTGAGAGTCCTCCATGTGTCAATATCAGGGACATCATCAAGGACAACAAAGTACCTCAATGTCTCAAAGGTTTGTTGAAGGGACTGTGCCAACATGTTACCATTCATGGTTTCAAGTGCTCGACGGGTACTGTCATCGTTTAGATTAACCATGCTCAACAACATGTCCGTAACATCAGAAAACCTTGGAATCTCAATCCATATAGTTCGATTAAAATTCTTACTCACTGCTGCATCATCAAAGATTTTCTTGACTAGGGCAGTTTTCCCTATACCTCTAGTTCCAACTATAGAAAGCAATTTCCATTCTTGATCATCAGAAAGTAACCAATCAAGAAGCATTGATTCATGATTTTCAACACCTACAAGATCTGCATCATCATCAAGAATTACTTCTTCATGGTTATTACGCCATGAGATGTTGCTACTTTCAGGACTTATTGTAACACCATATTTCTGAAGAAATGTTTTATGTCCTTCAGAAATGACGATGATTCGGGCCCTAACACCTTCCAACATAACTTGAAGATTATCATTCTGAGCTTCAAATAACTTCTTAGACATTAATGAATGATGGGGTTTTTTCCATGGCCATGATGCCTTTTCTTGAAAATTGTTGCACATAACATGATGTTTTTCAAGAATGTCTTGGATATCATGTGCAAGATATTGTACTTGCTTGATCCATACTTGTAAATCAACATCTTCTTCTTCTTTTGCATCAGCTACTCTTGAGAAAGTCCTCATATGTTCAAATGCATCCCTGATATGAACAATTTCTTGTTCAATTCCTTCATAACATTTTTGTCTACCGTGGAGCCAAGCTGAAAGCCGATGTACCAAATAAGATATGGCACTCTCTGCCATTTTTTCCCTCAGTATATAATTTCTTTAGCAAATTTAATGCAAGATGTTGGTGTAGTTAATGGTGGACTTTCGTGATCAATTTATGTAGATCAAAGTTTGAACTTGTTAGGGAATATAACCGCGTTATGCAAATGATTATTGCAAATTGCAAGCTTAAGAAGTATTATCCTAGTTATTAGTATCAGTTTTGCTACTACTAGTTGGAGGATCTTTCCTTTTTTTTCAATTCATGCTATATGAGCTGACTTTGAATACACTTAACGTGGCCAGCAATTTGGCACGGTTGACTATGGCCGTATAGAGACATCGATAGTCAACTTTTGGAAATTTTTGGAAGATATTTGATGTAATTGATGTTGGACTTTCCTGATCAATATATATAGATCAGACTTTGAATCAGTTTAGGTACTAGAACTGCGTTTCACAAATGATTATTCCAAATAGCAAGTTAAGAAACATTTTACCAGTTACTACTGGTTTTTTATTTATTATTTTACTTTATTGTATTATATTTTTTAGTTATACTACCACTAGTTGGAGTATTTATCTTTTTTAAATTCATGCTATATGATCTGACTTTTAACGCACTGAACATGACAAGCAATTAGGCAGTTGATTCAGTCAATTACTGGCTGTCTAAAAATACCTATTGTCAACTGGAGTGTTCATTGTGTTGAATTATTTCTTAGCCATGTTGATGATTTAGCTTGTAGACCCGTTAATGACAGATGACTGGTACATGAATCTTAGTTGTAAAAGTGGTATCATGTAGAGTTATGATAGCCAGAGGCACACCTACCCTTTGGGTAGGTGGGTCACCGGCTCCCGGTAACTTCGAAAAAGATATATGTATATAATAACAAGTATATATTTTGATTGACATCCTAAGATTCAAATCTTAGGCAGCTGCATTAGTCGATTTGGGGGCACAACTTGACTTTTGGTGCGCTGCCTGGGTTCGGTTCCAACTCTAGCATTTGCTCAAATATTTATTCGACAGTGGCGCCCTTGCCACTATCAAATCTTGGGTCCGCCTCTGCCTCTGATGACAACAGGTTGTTCATTTGATTAATGAAAATCATAAGGGAAGAGGCATTCATGATACAACTGAAAGTCCAGAATGAGAAAATAAGGAGTAAACAGTAACATTTAGAACTACTAATTATCTTACATTGGTGATTGGTATAATCTGAATTATCAACTTTGTTTCTCTTTTCTTGCATCATCCCATTCTTATCTACCTTACAACATTTTCACATGAACTTTAGGAATATGAGCAATTTTCCAGTAATCCCCACTTTGACTGTCCTTAAGCTGCAGAGTCATTAACAGCTTTTCAGAAATTTCTTCCAGCAAAAGATAACCAAGCTTCCTCAAATGCTCAATCCCAAAGGGCAAATCCTCCATTAATCCACAGTTGCACAGTTGAAGCTCTTCAAGAAAAGGCATTGCACCCTCTTCCACTTTCGTCTGTCTCAACTTTGTAGAGTGCCAAATGCATAATATCTTCAGCTTCTTGAATCTACCTGCCCCGAACCTCAATTCTTCTCCTTCGAAGGCTCGGTCTAGCACGAGTTTGACAAGGCTGGGCAAATCTTGAAGAGTTTCTAGTGCATTGTCCATTAACTTGCTCCCTCTTAAAACAACAATGGCTAAGGCTTGAAGAGATGTTACCCATTGGGGAAAGCTCTCCAAACACCCTTCAAAGACTAATGTTCGAAGGGATGAGTGTGTAGAATGTAGGGGATAGTGCAAGTCAATTATGCCACCCACCCCAAAAGATGAGATAGTTAGTTGTTGAATATTTATCAACTTGTCAAGGGAAGAACAAAGATCCCTTCCATGTTTTCTTCTCAGCTTCGCGATGTACAACATTCTTAGTCTTGTTAACTTTCCCAATTCAATCACTGTGCTTGTAGTGGCATTTATACGATTCACCATTTCTAAAGACACAAGAGTCCCTATCTTCTTAGGAGCTTCAAAACCATGTATATAACCAGCAGCAAAGCGATTAATGAAGATATGGCGATGTTGAAGCTTTAGTATCTCGACTGGCAATTTGTTTACCAATGTCTCCCTTAGGTCCAAGAACTCAAGGTTCTCAAGCTTCCCTATTGATCCTGGGATATGTTTTATCTTAGTGCTCCTCAAGTTTAGACACTGAGATGAATCAATTCAAAGACTTCTTCTGGGATTTTCACTAATGGGGCTCCTTTTAAGTCTTAGACCTTGAGCAGCTTAAAACTGCCAGATAACAGCTTCAACAATAATGAACTAGAGACAGAAGCTGATGACCCGAGCGTTATTAGAGTGCGAAGATGCTTAAACTGATCAATGTCTTGTATATCACTAGACAAATGATCCTGGATTACTAGATGTCTGACCTTGTGACTCCTTTCTCTTGACTTGGAAAGAATGAATTCATACCACAAGTTATGGATTCTGAATGTCTCTAACCTTCCATCAGGATACTTTCTAGCAACTTGGATCAAGCTTCTGTTTTAAAGTTCATTGAGATAGCTTTCAGCAACTTGTGCAATTGCCTTTCCTTCTCTTTCAAGGACAAGTCCTTCTGCTGCCCACAGTCGAAACAGTCTCATCTTATCCATGACATGATCTTTTGGAGTTATGCTCAGATATGTGAAACAAGACTTGAGATAGAAAGGCAAGTCTTGATAACATAGATCGAGTATCCTTTTCATGTGCTCGACTTCACTATAACTACCTTGTAGCTTGCCAACAAGGCTGCCGTGAAACAACTCCCATGCCTCTGTATTGTTCCCTTTGGTGGCCAGTGCACCAGCAATCACCAAAAATGCCAGTGGAAAACCGTTGCAGTTTTCTACGATGTCTTTGGAGATTTGCGTCAAGGGTGGAGGACATACTAGGCTGCCTGAAAATACCTTTCAGCAGAAAAGAATCCAAGATTCTTCTTCAGACAAATTGAAACAATAAGCATGACTATCACCGCCAGTTTCCACACAAATGTTACGGCATAGTTCAGCAAAACGCGATATGAAGATGACTCTGCTGCCACAGTTTTCAATAGGAAATGTACATTTGAGAGCCCTCCATGTACCAATGTCAGGGACATCATCAAGGACAATAAAGTACCTTGATGACTCAATGAGTTGTCGGATGAACTGTGCCAACATGTTAGTATCCATGGCTTCAATGACTCGACGGGAATGGTCATTGTTTATAGTAATCATGTTCTTCATTAGCTCCTTAACATCAGAAACCCTTGGAATCTCAAGCCACAGTGTATGATTGAAATGCTTTTTCACCGCTGCATCATCATAGACTTTCTTGACTAGGGTGGTTTTCCCTATACCTCTACTTCCAACTATACAATGCAATTTCCATTCTGGATCATCAGAAAGAACTCAATCAAGCAGCATTGACTTATGATTTTCAATGCCTAACAGATCTGCATCATCATGAAGAACTACTTCTTCATGGTTATCACACCATGTATTAATGTTTCTACTCTCAGCACTTACTATAACACCATATTTCTGAAGAAATGTTATATGTCCTTCAGAAATGATGACGATACGGACTTTGATGCCTTCCAATAACATTGAAAGATTATCATGCTGAGCTTCAAATAACTTCTCCGAAAATGAAAGATGGAATTTTTTCCGTGGCCATGATCCCTTATCTTGAAAATTGTTGCACATAACAACATGTTTTTCAAGAATGTCTTGGACATCATGTGCAAGGTCTTGTACTTGCTTGATCCATACTTGTAATTCAGCATCTTTTTCTTCTTTTGCATCAGCTACTCTTGAGAAAGTCCTCATCTTTCCAAATTCATCCCTGATATGAACAATTTCTTCTTGAATTCCTTCAAGAAATTTTTGTCCACCATTGAGCAAGGTTGAAAGCTGATGTACCAAATAAGTTATAGCACTCTCTGCCATTTTTTTCACTCAGTATATAGTTTCTTCAGCAAGTTTATGCAAGATGTTCGTATAACCTAGGGTGGACCTTGGTGATCAATTTATATAGATCAAACTTTGAACCGGTTTATGCTCTAGAACCGTATTATTAATTGATTATTGCAAATTGCAAGCTTAAGAAATACTATCGTAGTTATTACTGGTTTACTAATACTTGTTGGAGTATCTCTCTCATAATATATTCATGCTATATGAGCTGACTTTGCACACTTAACGTGGCCAGCTATTTGGAGGTTACTTCATTGACTATGGGCTATCTAGAAACACTGATTGTCAACTTGAATGTTTACACAAGAATCTCCAATATGTTACTCTAAAATAATTAACATAAGCATGTTGTGCAAACTTTGCTATAGTATCCTAGCAGCATTTTTCTCATCTCGAATTAAAGTAGTATGATCTATATTTGCTGATATACAAGCTCGTAGAATAACCACTCAATACTTATGTGTTAAGTGTTGTTGAGTGATGAGAAAATTATTTGCTAAATCCATGCCCGCAATAAGGTATTCCATACCTGCCCGAGTGGTCAGTTTAATTATGATATGTTTGATGAATGATGAACCTCATGCTATCTGGTGATTGCTTCAGCATCTAAAACAACGATGAATTTGATAATGTTTTTTTTCATTGTTCTAAATCTACGTCTACGTCCAGCAGGTGCACTTACTACAACTGTGTAGTTTGGCTCAACCCTGACTCCAAGAGGGAGCCTTTCCTGTTGGACCTGAAGATGGAGGATTTGGAATGTCATATGTCCTCCTTTATGGACGATCGATCTGGCTTCTTGTGGGCAGCAACAGTGCCGGATGAATACTAGTAAGCTATGCTACACAATCTTGTATATATATGATTTCTCAATCTACCAAAGTTGTTGCTTGGATATTTTCTGGAAGCATTTTTTTCCTCCATTTGAACTTAGGAGATTGAAGAAAAATCCAGGGAAGAAGAGAAAAATGAGTGGAAACTATACAAGCTCAATTCAGTTGTATATGCTGAGATGTCTGAAAAACAAATGTAGATAGCTGAATTCTACATGAATGTTAAGTTGTAACAATGGTACTATTTACAGTTTAAGAAAATCGTATGAGAAAATGCGTTCATGATCCAAGAGAAAGTTCAGATGTGATACCTAAAAATGAGAAAATGAGGAGTAAAGAGTAACATTTAGAACTATTAATAACCTGAGAAAGTTATAATCTTAATTATCAAAGATAAAATGGTACATTTCAGTGGGACTTCGTTTGTCTTTTCGTGCATCATCCCATTTCTATCTACATTCCAGCTTATTAACTAGTCTTCTATGTGAAGTCTAGGAATATGAGCAATTTTCCAGTAATCCCCACTTTGACAATCCTTAAGTTGCACAGTCACTAACAACTTCTCAGAAATTTTTTCCAGCGAAAGATACTGAAGCTTGCTCAAGTTCTCAATCCCGAAGGGCAACTGCTCCATTAATCTACAGTTACGCAGTTGAAGTTCTTCTAGTAAAGGCATTGCACCCTCTTCCACTTTAATCTGTCTCAGTTTTTCAGAGTGCCAAATACATAATTCCTTCAGTTTCTTGAATCCACCTGCCCTGAACCTCAATTCTTCGCCTTCATAGGCTCGGTCCAGTACAAGTCTTACAAGTTTGGGCAAATCTTGAAGAGTGTCTAGTGCATTGTCCATTAATTTGCTCCATTTTAAAAAAACTGAGGTCAAGGCTTGAAGAGAAGTTATCCATTGTGGAAACCTCTCTAAACGCCCTTCGAAGACTAATGTTCGAAGGGATGAGTGTGTAGAAGAAAGGGGATAGTGCAAATCAATAATGTCACTCACCCCATAAGACGAGATAGATAGTTGTTGAAGATTTATCAACTTGTCAAGGGAAGAACAAAACTCCCTTCCATGTTTTCTTCTCAGCTTCGTGATGTATAACATTCTTAGTCTTGTTAACTTTCCCAATTCAATCACTGTGCTTGAAGTGGCGTTTATAGAATTCACCATTTCCAAAGACACAAGGGTTCCTATCTTCTTAGGAGCTTTAAAACCATGCAAAAATCCAGCACCACGTCTATGAATGAAGATATGCCGAAGATGTTGAAGCTTTAGTATCTCAACAGGTAACCTTTTTATCAATGTCTCTCTTAGGTCCAAGAACTCGAGGTTCTCAAGCTTCCCTATTGATCCTGGCAGATGTTTTATCTTAGTTTTCCTCAAGTTTAGAAACTTGAGATGAAACATTTCAAAGACTTCTTCTGGTATTTTCACCAATGGGGCTCCTGTTAGGTCTAAGACCTTGAGCAGCTTAAAACTTCCAGTTAACAGCTTCAACAAGAATGAATTAGAGACAGAATCTGATGACCCGAGCATTATTAGAGAGTGAAGATGCTTAAACCGATCAATATGTTGTATATCGCTAGCCAATGGATCAGCGATTACTAGATGTCTGACTTTGTGAGGCCTTCTTGTAATTTCTTCACTATCAGTTATAGTTTCAGTTACCCTTTCTGCTGTCTTGGAAAGAATGATTTCATACCACAAGTTATGAATGGTGAATGAATCTAATCTTCCATCACAGTACCTTTCAGCAATTTGGATCAAACTTCTGTTTGCAAGTTCATTGAGATAGCTTGCAGCAACTTGTGCAATTGCCTTTCCTTCTCTTATAAGGACAAGTCCTTCTGCTGCCCACAGTCGAATCAGTCTCATCTTATCGATGACATGAAATTCTGGAATTATGCTCAGATATGTGAAACAAGACTTGAGATAGAAAGGCAAGTCTTGATAACATAGATTGAGTATCCTTTTCATGTGCTCGACTTCACTATAACTACCTTGTAACTTGTCAACAAGGCTGCCATGAAACAACTCCCACGCCTCTTTTCTTTTCCCTTTAGTAGCCAAAGCACCAGCAATCACCAAAATCGCCAGTGGCAGACCTCTGCATTTCTGTATAATGTCTTTGGAGATTTGCATTAAGGATGAAGGGCATAATAGGCTGCCTGAAAATGCCTTTCTGCAGAAAAGAATCCAAGATTCTTCTTCAGACAAAGGCGTCAAACTATAAACATGACTATCACCACCAGTTTCTGCACAAATGGTATGGCATATTTCAGCAAAACGCGATATGATGATTACCCTGCTGCCACAGTTTTCGATAGGAAAGACACATTTGAGAGCCCTCCACGTGGCAATATCAGGGACATCATCAAGGACAATAAAGTACTTTGATGACTCAAAGATTTGTTGGATGAACTCTGCCAACATGTTAGCATCCATTGCTTCAATTGCTCGACGGCTATGGTCATTTTTTGGAGTAATCATGTTCTTCATTAGCTCCTTAACATCAGAAAACCTTGGAATCTCAATCCACTGTGTATGATTGAAATGGTTTTTTACTGCTGCATCATCATATACTTTCTTGATTAGGGTGGTTTTCCCTATACCTCTAGTTCCAACTACACAATGCAAATTCCATTCTTGATCATCAGAAAGTAACCAATCAAGAATAACTGGTTTGTGATTTTCAATGCCTACAAGATCTGCTTCATCAACCAGAACTACTTCTTCATAGTTATTACACAATGTAGTAATATTTCTGTTCTCAGCACTTATTGTGACACCATATTTCTGAAGAAATGTTTTATGTCCTTCAGAAATGACGATGATTCGGGCTTTGATGCCTTCCAATAACATTGAGAGATTATCATTCTGAGTTTCAAAGAACTTCTCTGACATTAATGAATGATGGGGTTTTTTCCATGGCCATGACACCTTTTCTTGAAAATTGTTGCACATAACAACATGTTTTTCAACAATGTCTTGGACATCATGTGCAAGTTCTTGTACTTGTTTGATCCATACTTGTAATTCAGCATCTTCTACTTCTTTAGCATCAGCTACTCTTGAGAAAGTCCTCATCTTTTCAAATTCATCCCTGATATGAACAATTTCTTGTTGAATTCCTTCAAGAAATTTTTGTCCACCATTGACCAAGGTTGAGAGCTGATGTACCAAATAAGATATAGCGCACTCTGCCATTTTCACTCAGTATAAAGTTTCTTTAGAAAACTTTATGCAAGATGCTGGTGTAATTTATGGTGGACTTTGGTGATCAATTTATATAGATCAAACTTTGAACTGGTTTATGCTCTAGAACCGTATTATTAAATGATTATTGCAAAATTGCAAGCTTAAGAAATATTATCCTAGTTATTACTAGTTTACTACTGCTAGTTGGAGTATTTCTCTTATTTTATATTCATGCTATAGGAGCTGACTTTGAACACACCTAACGTGGCCAGCAATTTGCAGGTTGCTTCATTGACTACTGGCTGTCTAAAATTTTGATTGTTAACTTTATTTTTTCTTTTGTCAACTTGAATCTTTACATTTGAATGCTGACAAGCCATTCAAGTTTTGTGGTATATAATATGTCGAAATGGTAAGTAAGAATAATTACGGTATTGCATCTTTCATGTGATGACTAAACTATCTTTTTATAGGGATAGGCAATATTAACCTTATTTAATTAAATATTCAAATGGTAAAAGTCTTACTGTTATCTGTATGTATTTGGTATGAGCTTAAGGTTAACAGTTCTATCAATTACAGAGGCGTCAAGTAGTTGAAATGTCAAGAGAATTAGCTTATTTTCAAGCAATAGGAGCGTTCAAAAAGGTTTCGAGGGAAGTTGCTAGAGATGTGAATGCTGCTACTGGTATCCTTTTATATTTGTTGGTTCTGGTCTATCGAAAACAGTCTCTATCTTCGCAAGGTAGGGGTAAAGTCTACGCACACACTAACTTTCCCAAACCCCACTTGTGAGATTACACTGGTTATGTTGTTGTTGTTTAGTTGGATGGTGTTGCTGAAGCTAGCAATGGGAGTTTCGTTTAAGTTTCTTTACCTATATACATGTGGTCTTTACTCGATTATTGGTCACTTTTTGTGTATGAATCTAGGGGCAGAAGTGT